CACACAAGAGGAACTGCATACAAACACTATTCAAGAGAGCCAGGACTCATTGCAGCACTCTCACCTCAGGGAAAATTGAAGAAAAATATCTCATGGACGTCTTCCAAAAGAATGGATATCCACGGAATTTCATCAAAAGACATATACCCCCAAGCCAACCTATCAAACCAAAAGCCCCCAAGGAAAGCACAAAGAAAGGGTATCTCAGAAATCACTGCGACACTTTTCAAACCTTTAGGAATTGACGTCGTACACAAACCAACAAAGTCACTCCACTCAATTCTATGTCAACCAAAAGACTCAACAGCGAAGGAAGATAAAACCAACATCAAATTTCAAGTTGCAGAAACAATGAGTGACAATACAAGTAACCAATCACCAGCTCAGAGAACACAACCACATTAAAAACCTTCTCTGTTCACACAATGATTCCAATCAAGGAAAGAAACTATTGATTGAGATCGATGGTCAGCAGTAGTCTGATCTTCTTCTCCCACTCCCAGAGTTGGAATTCAAACGCCTACTGCTTGTGTGTGTGTGTGTGTACCATGCATGGATGGATGTGCAATTATTCCAATTTGACAACACTCTCTTTACCGCCAAATAGATGGTGTGTGGTGTAGCTATGAGAGGAGTCCACTCACTTAGCCCTGTTTTAGCAGATACATATATTCATGTCCAACCGTGAAAGAACAAAGTTGAAGCATGCAATCGACGAAACACGACTTCCTACTGTCGATATGTTACAGCTGACACACACATTTGTAGTGTGCAACAATGAAAGTGTCATGCTTCAAACTTACTCAGATTATTCAATGATGCACACACATGCAATATTGAGTTTACTATGGAACATGAAAGATCCATGGAAATTTCCACTTCCTCGACATTGTCATGCAACGCCTAGAAGACGCTAGTTGGTCTTCAGAAGTCAATTTATCGAAAGCCTACATGGAAAGGGCAATACTTACATTTTAATAGATTTTGTCCTAATAGCTAGTACACAACTTTATCGATTTTAAGAAGGCCTTTGACCGTGTGTGGCACGAAGGCTTATGGCAAGTCATGAATAACTACAATATAGATAAAAACATAATTGAGGTTATTAAGTCTTTATATAACAAACCTAGTAGTGCAGTATCTCTAAATAATCAAACTGGCGAGTTCTTCAGAACAACTATAGGAGTACGCCAAGGGTGCGTTCTCTCACCAGTCCTCTTTAATTTATTCCTCGAACATATTATGACACAAACCCTACATGACTTTACACCGACACTTAGCATAAACGGAAGACCAATTTCCAACCTCAGATTTGCTGATGATATAGCCCTCATTGGGGAAAACATTGATCAAGTTCAGGACCTCACCTCAAGACTTGATGTTGCAACCAAATCTGTGGGCATGGAAATCAGCACAGAAAAAAGCAAAATACTCATTAACGGAGGAAACAACTCAGATAGATGTATCAGACTTGATGGACATGTATTAGAAGAGGTTGAAACTTTCAAATACCTTGGGTCTACCCTAACAAAAGATGGAAGGTCCACTAAGGAAATAAAAATTCGACTAAACCTAGCCTCTGCCACCATGTCCAAGTTAGGGAAAATATGGAAGAGCAACATCAGCGTCTCAGCAAAAATGAAACTCTACTCGTCACTGGTCCTCTCTGTATTCCTATATGGATGTGAGAGCTGGACCCTGAATGCAGAGACAGAAAGAAGAATACAAGCCTTCGAAAACAAAAGCTATAGAAGGATCCTAGGAATAAGCTACCTTGAAAGGAAAACTAATGAATATGTCTTACACCAGGTCCATAGACTGGCAGGAAAACAGGAACCACTCCTTTCAATCGTAAAGAAACGGAAACTACAATGGTTCGGCCACACGGTAAGACATGACACATTGTCCAAAACAATTCTACAAGGCACAGTAGGAGGAGCACGAAAGAGAGGTCGACCGAATAAGAGCTGGCTTGACAACATAAAAGAGTGGACTGAAATGCCCTTGGATACGCTACAGAAAATAGCATTAAACCGAGAAGAATGGCGAAGACTGATAGCGCGAACTGTCATAGCACCCCCACGACGAAAGTCAAGGGACTGATGATGATGATGATGAAATAGCTTTAAACGCGGACTGCTAGTCAACAATCTGTATTATAGAGAGAGGAGAAAATGTTCTACAGAGAAATTAGAGGAAGAATTTGACTTTGTTGAAAAGATGTTGAAGAGCAATGGGTACGTACTCTCAAAGATCCACCAACAAGAATGGAAGATCTGAAGTCACAAATGTCAAACAAATCACACAGTGAAGAAAAAGCCAATCTACATTCAACTTGATTATAAAAGTGAAAACATTGCAGCGATGGTCAAGAGAAGATTGAGTACATCCGTAGACACAGCCTGCCATTCTGCAGCTTAGCTGGTTCCCGTCTATCGAACAACTTGCTCTTCTCTGGTGCAATCAAAAATCGATAGATATCCATCCTTCTCATGTCAACAATTCCAACTGTATATACAAATTTACATGTATCTGTGGGAGCAGTTACATTGGAAAGACAGAAAGAAGAAGAGGAAGGGCATATCTACGATTTTCTGAACATGTACCAAAAAGCTGCTTATGTCTACAGCTGGGAACAAATGCTTTACTAAACAGTGCCTCCATCCGTCGCCATCCATCTCCTTGACACGGGTCGGTCACGAGGTGGACGTGGAAAAGTCGTTCAAAATTAACAATAGCCAAAAGGAGCTCCATTCTCCTCAAGTTTGCTGAAGCCATTTCCATTTCCAAGCACCTGAAAGCTGATTTGTGCGGCGTTCAGAAAGAAACAGTTATCAGTGTTTTTCTTTGCTCTGCCTGGTAAGTGGATATTTTTCTTTCTATTTCATGTGAATGCGTTATGCTGAAAAGTTTCCATTGTGTATCATTATTATTATTGTTCGGAGTAGTGTTTAATATTACATATATATTATTAGTATATGCATATATTGATCGATTAATTGATTTTTGTTTAAAATGAACTCTGTGCAAGTGTGTTAAAAATTGTTTTTGTAGATGTACTTTTTATTTATGACTGTGGCCTGTAAGCAGCTGACGAGAAGGCAACGAAATAAAAAAAAATGGTACCAGTTTATTCTGCAAAAACCACTGTAGTTCTTGCTTTGTTCACTTTCAGGAGAGTTGGTTTATTTCCAGATTTCGTGAAGACCACTTATCATTTAACATATTCCGATTTTGCCTCATCTCTTCATCTTTGCTCACCACTATTTAAAACACACACACAGATGTGAGGCTTTTCGTGAATGAGAACATAAGACTTGAGAAGTGAGTACTTGCCACATCACGCAAATCTGTCTGGTATTATTATTTTATTGAGAGAAATTTATGGCTCAACAAAATCCAATCTGTTCAAATACTCTCTATAAGGTTAAATATAGACACACATATATAAATATATTTTAGTGATATGGGAAATAAAAATTTTAGCAAGTCGACACCCACTTCACTTAACAGCAGCAGATCCAACCTTGTGTCTCCCCCTCAGATAAAACAAGAAGTCATTTCAGAAGACTTTATGCACGTACGTCTAAGTATACGAAATTCCACTATACCATATTTGACAGCACGTACTGTAGGTGATGCAAATAGTGTCAGGCTTGAATTTGGTAACCTTTGCACTACTAAATAAACCATTTCCTTTTTGATATGGTTGTGTTCTCTGAGCTGGATAGCTAATTTACGAAGCTTTCATCGCCCTACCAGGCAGGGGACATCTTCCTTCAGAGCATACCTCAATTTGAAGAGAGCTTTCAGATTTCTCCACGAGTTTATTAACCATCTCTCCTGGTCGGTGACCTTGAACGTGATTGGTTGTTTTTGTGTGTTTTCACACCTTGTAGGTTATTTGTATTGTAATTCATTGTCTCTTTGACTTGAACTTTGACCCTTTGTGTGCGTGTGAGGTTTCTTTCTTATCGGTTGAGAAATTTTGTCTATCTCGATGTGTCTATTGATTGATGATTCACTGGAATGCCAAGCTTCTAAAAATTCTCTAGCATTCTTCGTGTTGTTTCCTCTGTCTGTCTAATATTTGAACGTTGGTTTGGTTGTCCCAGTCGAATTGATGTCCATGGTTATCTGTCTGCAGTGAGGCGATATGAGTGAGTGAGGGAGTGGATGTCATGTCTTTTGCAGGCTAGCGTATGTTCGTGGATACGAAGACGAAGGGGATGTCCACTTTGGCCAATGTAGTGTTTTTCGCAGTTGGTACAATCTATTTTGTAGATGATGTTGGTTTTATCTTCTTTTGCTGTTGAGTCTTTTGGTTGACATAGAATTGAATGAAGTGACTTTGCTGGTTTGTGTACGACGTCAATTCCTAAAGGTTGGAAAAGTCTAGGAGTGAAAGCTCACTTCAAATTGAAGTATGCTCTGAAGGAAGATGTCGCCTGCCTGGTAGGGCGATGAAAGCTACAAATCTTCTCTATCATATCGAAACCATTTTCTCAAACCTTACATCATCAACCTTGCTATTGTTGTTGAACTTCTTTTATTTATAATCGTCTCAAGTTTTTGTTTTTATTTTTGTTTATTTATTTTCTCATAAGTGTGAACATCATTTCAGCTGTGTTATAACTGTGTTAATTTTGTCTTTCCCCTCACCATGCTGCTTTATCAACAGAACATTAGATTTAATACTCTACATGCTGAAATTTCCAAACTGAATTGACAATACTCTGTTTGAAACAAACTCACTGTTATTATTATTATCATATTTAATATTCTCAATTCGTGCTTCGAATATTTTCGGCTTTCTATCGTAAACGTGGACAAATTCCTCTAGTTAATTTTGTTTTAATTTTGAGTAAATCAGATGCAAGGTGTTGTGACAAATGATGAGAATTCCATTCTGTATTATAAGTAGTGCTGTTTTTGGAATAAGGCAGATTATTATTATTATTAATGCATAGATATAAAAAATACGGAGAGAATTGACGTACTTTTTGCCGACTAATTCCGGTAGCATGTCAGCCATGATTACAGCTAAAGACGTCGCCGCGGAACACTCGACAACACACTTCTCCACTTCCAACAGGCGTACAACTGCCCGATGTATGTGCGACTCGTTCAATGTGATCACTTTGTCCACGAGATGACGACACGTCTGGAATGCATTCACGCCAACCATGGAAATTGCTAAGCCTAAACAGAAAAGAAGAGAATATATGTACACACACACACACACAAGGGGACACTCAATCAGTCAGTCAGAAATCAATGCGAGATCGATAGAGGACAATACTGGAAGAGAGATTTTTAATTTACAATACTGAAATCATACAGGGCATAAAGTGAATTTTGACAAAAAAAAATGGCCAATTGTCAATATTTTTACTGTACCATAGTCGGGATTTTATTATTATATGAGATAAAGATTAAGATTGAAAATGCCATCAATGCCATCAAGTGTCATTTATTCGCCTCCCCTGAGGAGATTATCAATCGATATATTCGATTTTGTGGTGGTGATTTACAATTTTTGCCATGAGGAACATCTCGAATGATACGCTCTCTTTTCACATTCTTATCAGAGAAGCTGTTTTTCAGGGGAAGGTGTGTGTGTGTGCGTTAGGCATTTACAGTCGTAGTGAATGCGTCAGGGTGAAAGGTATCCTGCAACACTGAAAGTCATTCATGCCTATTTGTCAATTTCTCTTGAAAAGAAAACAAGTTGGTACAGTATAACTCCATTATGGTTAAGATTTTATTTTTATTTTATTTTGATAAACTGTCACTCACAGTGTGTGTAGTGTTATATAGTAAGTAATATTAACTGATGCGACCACTTACGCTTCGAGCACAAACTATTATTGCCACTCATAATCATCATATCAAGTCACTCACTCAATCACTCAATCACACAACTTTCGTCTTCCTTCCTGCTGTTATCCTTAAGAAGTGTGCTGACATCTTATGTTACCCATTAACTGACATTTTCAATGAATCTTTTTCCAAAAGTTTTATTCCTGACTCATGGAAAAATATCAAGGTTGTTCCAGTGCCCAAATCAACAAGTGGACCTACTGTCAAGTTTAGACCCATTGCTATTACCTCACCTTTTTTAAAAGTTATGGAAAGACTTATTTTACTTAATCTTGAACCCTCTTTAAAGCCTTTTAACGACCCTAACCAGTTTGCCTATAAACATAGTAGGTGTACCCTAGATGCCGCTGTAGTTCTATATCATAATATAGTCTCTAGTTTAGATAGAGGAGCCAAATATGTTCGGTGTGCCTTCCTTGATTACACATCTGCATTTGACTCTGTACCTAGGTCTCTCTTGTTAAGTAAGCTTGCTGCGACACAGGCTGAGAGCTGGATAAATAAGTGGTTGTATTCCTACTTTTCTGATAGGAAGCAGTACACTGTCTACAATGGAAAGTCCTCCTCTACCTCACTTACTTTAGTTGGTGTTCCTCAAGGTGCCTTTCTTTCTCCTTTTGTGTTTTCTTCTTTCTTACATGACTTGCCCCATTCTGATGTAGCCACTTTTGTCAAGTATGCTGATGAACTCTCTGTCTCCATGCCTGTCAACTCTCAGTCAGACTGTTCCATATTAAATAACTTTCTCTCGGAAATTAGTCAGTGGTCCTCTTCAAACGGTCTTAAGCTGAATCCGTCTAAATGTCAGGTAGTAAATTTCTCTTTCAGACGAAAAAGTGACCTACAACAACTAGCTAGCTCACATGGTCCCACTATCATTGACGGCATAGAGGTTGAAACTACATCTAATGTCAAGTACCTTGGACTTAGTATTTCCTCCGATCTTTCCTGGTCATCTCACATCTCGCTAGTTACTAGAAAGATGTTTCGCTTAACGTTCTACGTTAGGAAGTTTAGGCAGTCTGGTATAAAGCAGTTTTTGCTTTCTCAGTTTGTCAATTCTTGTGTTTGCCACCCATCCCTCTTTACTGCTCCCCATCAGTCTTCCCTGGACTACTTAAGAAAGACTTTGCTTCGCTGCATAGGGCACTGAAAGCTGTTAGTAGGGCAAGTGGGATTTCGTTAAACCAACTGGTTAACACCATTGTGGATAGACATATAATGTCATGTAAGAAACTAGCGAATACTATATTGTCAGACCCCGAGCATCCTCTCCATACGCAGCTCTCTCCTTGGATTTCATCTGGTAGAACTAGAAGCAACTATAGGAGGCTATATGCCAGGACTACCAAGTATAAAAACTCCACAATACCTTATCTGGCACAGCTGGTATGCGATGAGAAAACTGTTAGGCATGACATGATCAATTTACTGCGGCACTCTAACAAATAGTTCCCACTAGTTTTTGTTTTCCTTTCTGTGTTGCTACTATATTGTTGCTCATATATTCTATTACAGACTAATTTTATATATCGTATCCTATGGTGCACTGTTTAAATACGTGAATGCAATGCTGTTCTTTTTTTATTTTATTTCTCTTTTTCTTTTTGTTGTTGTTGCTTTATATTTCTAAATCCTTATAAAATTTATGAGGTAATTAGATGCAATATTGTAATGCACGCTGGCTGAAAATGCCATACCTGTACCACAAATACTGTTTGGAATAAAGCTGCTATTATTATTATTATTCATAATGCGTTGAAATTCCCCTAAAAATCGAGAGTATTTTGTGCAGGTGGTATTTGATTTTATCCTAATAGGGGATAATCATTTCTCTGAATGAACTAGATGGTATGATTTATGAATCAAAGCTGATATGACTAAATAGAGTTGATTCGATTTGTGAAAATAAAAAGCTGTTATGGTAATTCTTCAACAAATTATTATAACTTATTCTTTTTGTAATTAATTAATAGTGTTCTCTGAAGAGGTGGTTGGTTTAGTTGCGGAGCTTTTGTCGTCCACCCCCCTGCTTGCTGGACAACATCCCCTTTCAGCGCAGTTCTTAGCGTAAAGTGAACTGATTTAAATTTCTCCATGAGTGGTGATAGAACTGCGTGCCTCTCCCGGTAACCATCTTCATGACATCTACATTGATCATTTTCTATTGATTTGGATTTTAAACTTTGAAAACCCCAAACAATTGGCCTATAGACAGGGTAGGAGCACTTTAGACGCTGCAGCTGTCTTACACAACAACATCGTCTCATCATCAGATAAAGGTGCCAAATACGTCCGCTGCACATCTGCTTTCGACTCTTTACCTAGATGTCTCCTGCTAAATAATCTCTCTTTGACAAAAACTGAGTCCTGGGTCACTAACTGGTTGCATTCCTACTTCTCTAACAGAATGCAGTACACCATATACAATGGTAAATCATCCTCTGCTGTACTCACCCCAAGGTGCTGTACTCTCCCCTCACTTCTCTTTTCTTTCTTTATACATGACTTACCGTCTTTAAATGACATTAATTTTGTTAAATATGCTGACGACCTGACTGTATCTTTGCCTGTCAAATGTCAAAGCGACTGCTTTAAACTTAATGGCTTTCTGTCAGAAATCAGCCAGTAGTCCAAGGAAAACGGTCTTACCCTAAACCCCTCCAAATGCCAAACAGTCAATTTCACCTTTAGGCATAAATCCGACCTAAACAAACTGGTTGGCTCTCACGAGGTATGCAACATAGATGGCACTGAAATAGAAACCAAGTTGGAAGTTAAATACCTAGGCGTCGTTCTATCTGCTGATCTTTCCTGGTCGTGTCATGTCATGACGATTTCCAAGGAAATATTCCGTCTTATCTTCTACATGAAGAAGTTAAGACATTCTGATATAGCTCAACCCTTACTGCTCCAATTCGTTAACTCTCGCATTCTGCCTATTATTCTTTATTGTTCTCCCTTAGTTTTTCCCGGGATACTGAAGAAAGACCATATATCTCATTACGCAGGGTGGTAAGCAACGTGCCACTTAGCCAGCTTGTTAATATTCTGGTCGACAGGCAGGCACATGGACTCATTTGAAAAATGGGCCAAATCCATTTGATCTAACTCATACCACCCTCTTCATTCACAACTCTCCCCTTGCGTCTCATCAGACAAAACCAGAAGCTTATATAGAAAACTATATGCTCGAACTAGCAAGTAAAAAAACTCAACCATACCCTACAATTTAATAATATTGCCACTTATAATCATCATATCAAGTCACTCACTCACTCACACAACTTTCGTCTTCCTTCATTTATATACATGAGTGGAATTGATGATTAGACATTTGAATACAAATCAGTAATATGGGATAATGTACATTCAGAAATAATAATATGAGTGTTATTGATCAATTACAATCACAATAAGTAACTTGTTAGAATGTTGTGATGATGTACGTGAATTGAATTGAAATAGAATACAATTTAAGATTATTTATTATCCTCCTCTGATTTCACTGACTGACTGACTGACTGACTGGTGGTAATAATATCTTCCATGCATATCTCTGGTATTTGCATTGAGTCATTTCTGTTGCATGTGTTGTGTTGGGTGTAGACTCGATGAACCAGTCAGAATTCAGTAATCAACCTCTCTCTCTCCACCTACCTAGATTACTGCTTAGAATCTTAACCCTCTCCCACCATGCTATTGTGTGGTTGTGTGTTAATGCATGCATGCAGTGCAGTGTATTACTTTTCTTCCTGGGTGGGGTCATTTATTATTACCTTAGCTAAAGTCTGATGTTCCGACTATCTGACTACCCCGCCCGATCTATTAGTTTCGCCTATGTAGGTGGTTGACCTAACTCGCAGTCATTGAAGGGTATTTTGTAAATCAAATTATTTTGTCTATTTGGGTCAACCGGCAGCGTCTTTTAACCTACAAAGCTTGTCCTATCTGAGTGAGTTTGTATGTTTAAATGCCACCAGTCTAATTCCTGTTTGTTATTAACAATCCTACGTAGGGAGTGTCTCAGATGTCCCTCCTTCCTTATACGGTATAACAGTGGATGGCTTATATTCTCTCTTATTTATGTTATCACTGCTAGTTTCACAATTATTTTTCGATTTTGCTTTTGGCCTTTTCCAATCTCCCTAATGAATTTTATAGGACAGCTAACTTGCTAACCAGCTTACGACACAGCTCATTTTCATAGTGCCTGGAAAAACTATATCAACAGAACCGGAAAACATATACATGAGCATATATATACCTGTATGATTTAGTCAGTAATTTTGAAGCGTTGAACGGTGTCATAAAGAGAGCTGCAGAATATGCAGAATATTAGGGAGTAATATCCAGATACGGCACTGTCTGTCTGTTTTTGACATTAAACTTTGCACCGATGTGAAGCAGTTCAAGTCGCCACACTCCTTCCTTGTATCACACAAAGCAAGAGAAGAAAGTAGAAGAAATGCATGATAGAGACAGTGAACACAGACGTGTGAGACAAAGGTATAGTAGTAACGAAGAACAATATAGTTCCATCGGGTATTATAATTCACAAGGTGTGGATGCATCTGCGCCAGCCATTGAGGACGACTACTTTGAGCCATATCATCAATTCTTTCCAGCCTCCATTGGTGTTTACCGTCTCTAAGAGCCCAAACAGTCAGGAAATCTACACCTTCTTACGTGGCTGGCTTAAACTAACTGTTTTGGATTTCATTGATTGGTTACGCCATGTTTTGGTTTGACAGCCGCTAGCTAACTCTTTCTCAGCCTGACCAATCCTATGTCAGCCAGCTAACATTCCCATTGTCGAGGAAGGCGATGGCTAGGGATACATGCGTAAAACATTTCCTATCCATCTCAGTCGGTGTATCTTCACAAGCTCGTCGATTGATTTTACCTCCCACCTACCTAGCACTCGACTGACACCTAACCTCAATATTGCTAACCTTTTTATACCACTTCTTATGGAAGATAGAACGCAGGCAACTATGATCAAAGACAGACAGCTAGCCTTTTTATGTCTTCCACTCTCAATGGCCAGGTCTCACAGCCAGCCAGCCATAAAGGATGACGGAGCGGACTGGTGAGCAGTACACCCGCCCTTTGGTCGATAGCCAGTCGGATATCACTTCCACTCCAAAGACGGCTTAAACTGGCTTTTGCGAAACTAGCCCTCTGTATCCGTACTGAGATTCCGTCAGAGATCAGCCTGTTGGCACTGGCTGATGGTACTTCCCAAATAAGTTAAGCGGTCAATGTGCCCTACCACTTCACTCCCTATTTCTTAACTAGCAGTCAGTGTAGTTCAGCCGGTCCTGTAACATCATCTTACATTTGGCGGGAGCGAATCGCATGCCAAACATTCTCAGATTGCAACTCAAGGTGTTCAGAAGACTCTGCTGTAATTTGTCAGCCTCCTCGCTCAGAAAGACTATATCATGCACATATTTAAAGTTAACGAGATTATTTCCTGGTAGCAAGTCAATCCCTGAGTCTCTGAAGTGAGTTAGGGTTAAATCCATTAGTACATCTATGATGAAATTGAATAGAAATGGGGATAATGGGCATCCCTGACGGACACCACTAGTTGTCACCATTTCAGATGACAACTCGCCGTAAGCTCTCACCTGGCTGATGGCATGAGTTCGAGTAGAGTGAGCGCCTTGATCAGTGCAATGTATTTTCTCCAGGCACTCCATAGTGCTGAAGCAGTTTCAGTAGTACTACACCTAAAGAACACACTAACACTAACGCCAACTCAGCTCTTCTGCACATCAGTTCGAAGACTTGGCTCAGAGACTTTCATCAACAGCTGTTTCGCTTCTTCTCATTCTGAAGATTATCAAATGACAGGCCAGGAAGGATTAGCAATATAGAGAGAGAGGGCTATGGAAAAGGAATCAACCAACCAAGAACAACCCACAGTCCTATAAATAAATACACAGTGTGAAATCATGTGCCAGGCACTAGAGTAGAACCTGATTGGGAAACGGTGAGTTGACACTAGTGTGTGAGTGAGATAAGAGATTATGTATGGGCAATGGTGGAGCCTGCTAAGGGGGACTGCAAAAAAACACGAAGAAGTGGAATGATGCCCTTTGTTGAAGCCCCCAATGTTTTACTGGAAACCCTCATAAGAGACTAATTGTAATATTATTATGATAAGTTTTCACACAAATACAATAAAGGTACACAAACATGAAACTACCTAATACAAGAACAAAAAGCGAATCCTTAAACAGCATTAGAAAGAGACGAATATGTGTGGGTGTGTGTGTGTGACATCAACTAGAAAAAACAGACTTCGTTTTCCATACAGCCAACTTTCATTGGACTTCCCTAACTTGTGGATGATGATTTCACCAGGTAACAAGAACGACGGGAGTTTCCGCTTACAAAGTGAGGCATTTTATCTAGACTATAAGTTCAGCATCAAAGGAAACGGGATCCAGCTATTTATTGATTTTATTTCTGCATATTTCAATATATAGGCTGCCTGTTAATCGAATCACTCATGACTTGTAATTAATTAACGTTGTTCTTTGAGAAGCTGGTTGGTTTAGGAGCAGAGCTTTCGTCATACCCCAACCGGGAGAATATCTCCTTTAGCATAAAGTGAACTGATTTAAATTTCTTCATGACTGGTGGTAGAATTGCGTGCGTCTCCCGGTAACCATATTCACATACGTATTGATAATTTTCTATTGACTTGGATTTAAAACTCTCTCGTCACGTGATCAACCTTTTAGTAGTTGATATACTTGATCTATATTAACGTGTTTGTTAATCGCTGGCTGATTCATTTGAGAACCGACCAGGCTTCTTGGAATTCCCTGACTACACTTTCGGTGGTGGTGTTTCCTCTGTCTAAAATTTTCGACATTATCCCAGTTATCAAACTGATGTCCATAATCATGTATATATGCATTGATATGAAACAGGAATATATATATATCATGTCTTTTCATCACAGCTGATTTGTGTTCCTGGATGATTCTGATTCGACGCCCTGGGGACGCCCACTTCTATTACCGATGTAATGTCTGTTACAGTTCAGAAATGCAAATTATATTGTAAGTGGTATTAGTTTTATCTCCTTTCTCTGTTGGATACGTCTTTCGGTTTGCACAATATCGAATAAAGTGATTGAACTGGCTGGCTGGCTTCTTTGCTATATCTATTTCAAACGGTTTCAATATTCTAGCTGTTAGTTATTTCAAAGATTTTTTCGCTTATATATGGTAGGATGAATTTTCTTGTGTTCTTTGATGATGATGGTACCTTGTTGGTGTAGTAATTCGTTTTTAAACACTTTTTGATGAAATTTTGTGAGGATATCGATTCTTTTTGAAGACCGTTTGTAGGTATTTTTCTTCCATTTTTCTCAACGCTGGCGTAGTGCTACAGTCTGTGTTGAACTCTCTTGTGAACAATGTCTACACACAGTTTCTTTTATTAGTGAGTAATTGGGTTGTTATTGATAGTATAGTTGATTTTCTATATACTTGTGTTTGTAAATGTCCTGTGTTGCTTCTCCTGATTAAGACATCTAGAAATGGGATTTTGTTGTCGTTTAATTCTTCTTCTCTCGTAGTAAATTTGATGTCTTCAAATATGTTGTTTATTAATTTATGGGTAAATTCTAATTTACATTTGTTTTAATTATTACAAATGTATCATCAACGTAACGTACCTCTAATCTTTGCATGACAGGCTTCAGCTAATAATCCTGATATGGTCAATCATCCCATTGGTGTCCCCTCTACCTACATATAATTACACCGAAAATCTGGACAGGTACGTTATGTTGATGATACACTTGCGATAATTAAAAGAAATGTGAATTAGAATTTACCCATAAATTAATAAACAACATATTTGAAGACATCAAATTCACCACGAGAGAAGAAGAATTAGACCACAACAAAATCCCATTTTTAGATGTCTTAATCAGGAGAAGCAACACAAGAAATTTACAAACACAAGTATATAGAAAATCAACTATACTAGCAATAACAACCCAAATACTCGCTCAGAAAAGAAACTGTGTGTAGACATTGTTCACAAGAGAGTTCAACACAGACTGTAGCACTACACCAGCGTTGAAAAGAATGGAACAAGAATACCTACAAATGGTCTTCAAAAAGAATGGTTATCCGCACAAACTTTCATCGAAAATTGTTCAAAATCGAATGACAACACCAACAAGGAACCATCATCATCAAAGACCACAAGAAAATTCATCCTACCATATATATCAGCGAAAAATTTCTCTGAAATAACTAACAGCTAGAATATTGAAACCGTTTGAAATAGATATAGCACGCAAGCAAACCAGCCAGCCAGTCCAATCACTTCATTCGATATTGTGTAAACCGAAAGACGTATCCAACAGAGAAAGGAGATAAAACTAATACCACTTACAATATAATTTGCATTTCTGAACTGTAACAGACATTATATCGGTGGTCGAAGTGGGCGTCCTCAGGGCGTCGAATCAGAATCATCCAGGAACACAAATCAGCTGTGATGAAAAGACATGATATGTATATATTCCTGTTTCATATCAATGCATATATACATAATTATGGACATCAGTTTGATAACTGGGATAATGTCGAAATTTTAGACAGAGGAAACACCACCACCAAAAGTGTAGTCAGGGAATTCCAAGAAGCCTGGTCGGTACTCAAACGAATCAGCCAGCGATTAACAAACACGTTAATATATAGATCAAATCTACCAACTAATAAAAAGTAGATCATGTGACGAGAAAGTTTATAATCCAAGTCAATAGAAACTGATCAATACATATGTGAAGATGGTTACCGGGAAACGAACGCAATTCTATCATCACTCATGGAGAAATTCAAATCAGTTGACTTTTCGCTAAAATTTGAGCTGAAGGGTTATGTTGTCCAGCCGGGAGTTAGGGGACGATGAAAGCTCCGCAACTAAACCAACCAGCTGGCTCCTCAGAGAACAAACTATTAATTAATTGCAAATCATCCACCTGAGCTACAAATCTTCTCTATTATTATTTCACAATCATTCATGATATCGAATAAAGCAGAGAGATTAAAAAAACGACGTTATATGATAAGTGAAATAGGTCAGAATTTTTGGTATATAAATAAATACGGCGGTATAACTTACCATCTGCACACGATGGGAAATTTTCTGTATAAACTGGTTTCCCGGCAAGCATTGCTTGATTGAAACCTGGACAGTTCTCTGATTCCACAGCCTGAAATGTCGACATAAACATTGTGGAGTAAGAGTAAATAAAATATCTTGGGGAAACAATAAAAAAGGGGGTGAACTAAAGCAATTTTAAGTATTTAACTGTACATTATTAATCACAGCCGTCGGAGTGGATCTGTATATTCCAATAGGGGTATATCACACCACATCACCAGGAGCACACTTCTCCAACTTCTGAAGATCTAAGATTTTAGAATATTTTCGACAACTATTGGGCTCCCCATAGAGCCCCTCTTTTGGCTGATTTCTTTCTAAGTAAGCTAGAAAATCGACCTCCAAAAAACAACCACCTTATCAGTAAGTTCTCATTTTATTGCCGGTATATACGGATGACACGCCTTCATTCTTTGTGATATGGTGATTCGGAGAGAGGAGTACAATAATTACTGAATTCAATGAAATACATTCTCCACTATGAAATTCACATGTGAAGAGGAATCCCAAAACACAGAATGAATTGCCTTCCTGGATTCCCCGTCCTGCTTACAAGAAAACCAGATGGTTGCATAGAGAGAAATTTGCATAGAAAAAGTACTTGGACAACAGGAGAATATTCACACATTTTCACAGCTTCGTTCCTCTCTCAAGTACAAAAGAAATTTAGTGAAGACCCTCACTCGGCCACAGAGTCAATTAGAGCTATATGCTCAGAAGAAGTAATTGAAGATGAATTTAGCATTGATTGTATATGATACTTTGATTAATCGAAAATAGCTATCCCGACAAATTTATCAAGAAACACATGAGAAAGAGTGGCGGAAAAGGACTACTCACTATCCATCCGTAAACAAGAAGCCTCTATATATACGACTGTAATTCAAGGCGATTGATATACCAAGTGAGATAATTACGAAGAAATTAAGAAAATCAGTTCAAAGAACTTTTAATGCTGGCGACGAACTATACGTCTTATTCTCTACACGACCGATGGTGCTACCTCGACTGAAAGATGAAATACCCAGACTAGACTAGCTGGCCACTTCAAATTGTATCTACCAATTCAACTGCAACTGTGCTTGTGCTTGTGGTGGAGCGAGTTATATTGGCCGTTGTTGCTCTAGGAACTTGATTTTTCGTCTCGCTCGCTCGCTCGAGAACATCTCCCACTATGGCTAAGTAAAGGTGTAGTGAAAACCATTAACAAACAGTTCGATATTGGACCATCTGGTGCAAACCGGCTGGCCGGCCACAAACAGCCAGCCAGCCAGCTTGGAAGAATCCTTCTCTATCATCATCTACCGGGTGCCACATAAATTTACAAAATCATCATCGAAGCACCGAATGCTCCAAACACCACAGGCTATTGCAATTCGCCTCAAACAACCAGTGCTGTGTGTGGAGAAAAGGCAAGTTGAGCAAGCCAGGCCCTACTACTGCCGTGGCTGGCCTTCAGTGAGTGGCGATTATAAATTCATGAATTTGTAATATTATCTTTCCTAATTCAACTGACATTCAGTGTATATTGTTATGTTGATGCTATTGAACTGTAATCCATTGGTATTATTATTATATCATTATTGATTCGATGTTATTTAAACAGCAACATTAATGTTGTTGTTCATAACACTAATTCATTCCTTCATTCATTCACTATAATGGATGGATATATAACTGTAGAGCCTGATGATGATGATGAAGGGGTTATCGAAAAGAGTATTTATTATATTCTTTGTTCAGTATCCATCCATTCTTTTGAAAACAATTTTAATGGGCATTTTTAATCAGTTAAAATTTTATGCATTTATAAATTTCGATGTTGGATGTTTCCAAGTAATCTACAGGAATCCCTCGAGCTAGATTTCACTTAATTGCCACTCGTCAGCAAAGCGCATCTTTAGTCTTGAAGGGACCGCGTGTTTTCTGTTTTTTCTGAGACGTCGTTATCACTAAGCTATTCTGACTCGCCGTTCACCTTCTGTAGGACTGTAATTGATACTTTGATTGGAACAAGGTTGTCACTATCGCCATGGCGTCTAGTCCCTCCCTGGTTCGGTGTAGAAATATATGTTATTTCAAGACTGTCTTGCTGACGAGTGTCAACAAGCAGGAGCTTCATTCACTCCGACTGCTTTATATGCTATCTGACATCGATTCTAAGGGGGCACCACCCACCTAGTGAAGTGAGTACAGTACAAACTTGACTTGATAGAATTCAGTTGACACTGACACCGACACCAAGAACACCAGGAATCATGATGGGGTGATTAGTACTACCCAGTGGTCGATCAAAATATTTTCAAAATGTATCAGCAAACTGACTCGGATAATCAATATGCATCTAAAAGTGGGTGCAAAATAAGAATTAAATTCCCTTAATAGAGTTGTAAAGCTGTGTAGTTGATGAACAGAGAGACTACATGTGACATATAGTGTAACACATCATCGTCATCAGAGATAGTCGCGCTGACCTTTTCATGAATAGATTCTTCGAAGATAGCACGCATCTTTTCAAGCATTCTCACTCACTCCTAAAATTTGGTTAAGATATGCGGTAGATGATACATTTTTGTAGTGAAGTGCTAAAACGAGCGAGATCTACACAGCTCGTTCCTGGAGTGAAAATCAACTGCTGTCTATCTCCCAGAATCTATCTAGTTTACTTCTGAAGCAGTGGCAGAATCAGACGTCGGTGAACTGGCGTTTCTAGACTGCCTCGCTATTAGTTAAGAGGAGGGAAAAAGGACACTTTACTACTATATCTATATTCAGGAAGAAAACCCAACACTCCAACAACAAATATTTAGACTTTGGATCATCACACCCCCCCCATCATCAGTGCAAAGGTATCAGTTGTTTCAAGTCTTCTCAGACGAACGAGCACACTCTCTGATGTTAACGGGTGAGAAAAAAAAGTGGAAGAAAAAGAAATATCAAACATTACTGAAACTCTCCTCAAGCAAAAGAACTACCCAACGAACTTCATGAACAAAATCAACATAGACATTAAGTATTGTCGAAAAAGCATTCCGAAAACATGGATGGACCTCAACAGTTGTCATTCCATATAGAGCAGAGACGTCCCGTCAGACGATATCAGAAGAGTACTCAATCAGCTCGACACTAAAGTTTTCTTCAAAACATCAGACAGTCACACTGCTAAACAACCTTGTCCATATAAAAGACTAAATCCCTAAAGATTCTCTATCTACAAATTGTGTCTATAAAATCAAATGCTTGCTTGGAATGTGATGCGATATACATCGGACAAACATCGCCAGAGAGAAATCAAGGTAATCAGAAGAAATGAACACCGGAGAGCATGTGTTCGACCACCGAGAAATCCAAGTGAACCGGAAAAACTAAAAAAATCATCTGTCATAGCTCGTATACATGCTATAGAATCAGGCCACCAAACTGATTCTCACAATATTGAAATCATCATCCAGAAGAAGCATTTCAAGAATCACAGAGAACGTCTCATATCATCAGAAGCACTTCATATCGTCAAGTGGAATCCAAATTGTCTGAAATGAATAGGAATGACGGACCAAAACAGAACTTGACCTGGTTACAACACCCTCCTCCCCCATGAAGTGACAAAATCAACACGAATGTGATAAGCAAGTTCACTATGTAAACACACACTGCTTTTATAATCTTACACACTGATTAAATCCAACAATCTACACTTGGTTGTGTTATCTTCATCAATCGACCAACTTGACAACAACAAAAAGTGACCCCAGACTGACGAACGATGATCAAGTTAGTAGACTTTGTTTTGATACCAGCCAGGGTAGATGTACTATGTTACTTCTGTTATTTGGTTTAGTGATTGATCTCCATTGTTATTTTGACCCTCAATATGTCCTCCTTTTAATTTGACCTAAGTAGTCTATTTTCTCATCTCCTAACTGTTTGTTATATATACATGCTGAGTGGATTTTGTAAATTCTTCTGGTTTAATAACAATACTGCTTTGATGAAGCTATTAGCAGCAGCATTAGATAGCGAAACGTCAGTAAGAGCAACGATAATATCGTTTTGTTCTTTTTCATTCATTCATTGGGAAATACAAGAAAACAACCTTTATTATAATGAATATCACATATACCCAAAACCCAAGGCCCAAACTGTTTTTTCAAACTATTAAACGTGAGCTTGGGATTTGGACATCATCATAGATACACGGGGATTTACAAGACGACAGGTGTTTACATAGAATGAATGACATTAAAGGGTAAAGTCAAGCAAGACTGAATCATTCACCGGGAGATTTTCTGCTGAAAGCATCCTCTCCAAATTCAGCAGAGGTGCTAATTAGGTGCTCAAGCCATTGTCAAGTAACTAAGTATATAACCATTAAATCAATAAATGCAATCAATAAATCATAATAATAATAATAAATATAACATCAGTCCCTGGTAGAAGGAGGACCATATGGATTATTGATATAAGTGAAAAACTTGGGCAGGCACTATGTTGGTGATGGCAGAGTGTAACTCCATTATGGATAAGAATTTATTTTGATAAACTGTCACCCACACAGTGTGTGTGTGTAGTGTTATACAGTAAGTAATATTAACTGATGCGACCACACGCTTCGAGCACAATTCATTATTGACCCTCATAATCATCATATCAAGTCACTCACTCACTTACACAACTTTCGTCTTCCTTCATTTATATACATGAGTGGAATTCATGATGATTAGACATTTGAATACAAATCAGTAATATGGGATAATGTATATTCGGAAATACTGATAATGATAATATGAGTGTTATTGATCAATTACAATCAGATGGGAAATAAGACGAGTGTTCTTTGCATAGTCATAATAAGTGAGTAACGCTGGCTGGCTTTGTGGCTGGCCGCCCCGTTTGCATCAGATGACCCAATATCGAACTGTTTGTTAGTGGTTTCCACTACGCCTGCCTGGTTCATTCAGTTTACACCCAACACAACACATGCAACAGAAATGACTCAATGCAAATACCAGAAATATGCATGGAAGATATCATCACCACCAGTCAGTCAGT